TACCCCAAGCATTTGTAACCACCTTGGACTGGAGGTGCCAAGTGTATGATGCAACTTGGCATCCAAGGTCCCTGCTAGCATGGATACCAATCTTCTTCCAAATCAATTAAATCAGATGTTACTGTGAAACAGCTGCACAGATTGGAGACAGAGCCCTGGTAACATCCCAGCTTCTATAAAGATTTCAGCTTCAGAATTAGTCAATTAACATTCAATGATCTTATTCTCATTTATCAGTAGGAAAAAAAAAGGAGCGTAAAGTGCTATCAAGTATCTTAGTAACTCTGAATTTGGGTTCTGATAGGACCACATGGCTCCAGATCTCATTTCAGCCTGTTGAAATATGAACAATGGTGCTGAATTCCACAATGAAAGGGAAAGGGACTGCTCTTGACATCAAGGCAGTGTTTAATCAAGTAATCATAACTTAATTGGGAAATCACTGAAAAATCAGGATTAAATTTTTTTTTTGGCTTAGGGCAATAGTTAATTAATTCCTAACACAAGGATGATCATGGTCGTTGAGGTCAATTGTCTCAGCCACTGGACCACTGCAAGATTTCCTCAGGGTAACTCCTATTTAAGCTAGGAGATAGTAAGAACTGCCAATGCTGGAGTCTGAGATGACAAGGTGTGTAGCTGGAGGAACACAGCAGGCCAGGCAGCATCAGAGGAGCAAGGAAGGTGACATTTCAGGTCAGGACCCTTCTTCAGAAATGGGAGAGGGGAAGGGGGCTCTGAAATAAATATGGGGGGGGGGCGCAGTGTTAGCAGGTAGGTAGTGGAGTGGATAGGTGGGAGAGAAGACGGACAGGTCAAGGAGGCAGGGATGAAGCTAGTAAAGGTGGGTGTAGGTAGGAAGTGGGGCTAGGGATTACCACAGGAGGTGCTACACCTGCCCCTACACCTCACCCCTCACTTCCATCCCAAGCCCCAAAAAACCTTCCACATTAAACAGATGTTCACTGCACATCCGCTAACGTGGTCTATTGTATCTGCTGTTCATGATGTGGCCTCCTCTACATCAGGGAGACCAAGCGGAGGATCAGAGACCGCTTTGTGGAGCACCTATGCTCGGTTCGCGACAAATGACAACAGCTCCCAGTCACAAACCACTTCAACTCCCCCTCCCACTCCCTGGCCAACACATCCATCCTGGGCCTCCTCCAGTGTCACAACGATGCCACCCGAAAACTGGAGGGACAGCATCTCATATTCCACCTTGGAAGCCTACAACCCAATGATCTCAATGTGGACTTTACTAGCTTCAAAACCTCCCCACCCTCCCCTCATCCCAAGACCAGCACCCCCTCTCATCCCCTTGACCTTCAGTCTTCTCTCCCACCTCTCCGCTCCACTTTCTACCTGCTATCACCGCTTACCCCCCTATTTATTTCAGAGCCCCATTTCTGAAGAAGGGTCCCAACCCGAAACGTCAGATTTCCTGCTCTGATGCTGCCTGGCCTGCTGTGTTTCTCCAGCTCCATACCTTGTTTCCTATTTAAGCTAATTCACCAATAATTTTCCCTCAGTCATAAAGGTCAGAAGTGGGGATATTTGCTGTTGTGTTCAGTTCCATTCACATCTCCTCAGGATAGTGAAATAGTCCAAAGCCACATGCAAGATCTCGGCAGGATACAATATTCAGCTGTTGGAGTAAATAACATTTGTATCAAATCAAATGTCAGGCAATCATCCCTCGAAATTTAGGAACATTGTGGTCACCCCAGCATGATGATGGTAATAACCAGAAATTTAACTAGACAAGCCATAAATAATGAGGATACAGATTAAGTTAGAAATTGGGCACCCTTAGGCAATTCAACTCCTCATACCCCAAAACTTGCCCAAGACAGTTAGGAGTGTGATAGAATACTTCCCACTAGTTTTAATGCATACAGCTCCAACAATGCTGCTCACATGACTGGGATCCCACCTACAGCCTTAGATTCACTCCTTCAAGGATGTAATGTGGCTGCAGTTTATACCAAGTCCTTCAGCAGCTTAACAGCAATTTCTGAATCCCCAGCCTCTGGCACCTAGAAAGACCGCATCAGCAGGCACCTGGAAACATCAACTCCAGTTGCCTTGCAATTTTGTTTTATTCTTTTGACAGGATGCATGCGTCATTGGCTAGGGCAACGTTTATTGCCCATCTGTAATTGCTCTTGCATTGAATCACTTACTAGGCCATTTCAGAGCATAGTTAAGAATCAGCCACATTATTCTGGGTGTGGAGTGGTGACCAAGTCATGACACATGACAAGTGATCTAGAGGGATTTGGAAACAACGACAATTGTCATGGTCACCATTAGACACTAGCTCTAGTCGAGTGACATTTCCAAGTCAGGACAGAATACAAGGGTAAATAGTGGTGAAGTGGTAAAATGTTTGACACTACCATTGGGTCAAATGAACTCCTACCCAACATCACCTTGGAGTAACTTTTCCACATGGATTCAGTGGTTCAATATCATTCATATCACCACCCCAAAGATCATTAGTGATGGACAATAAATGCTTGTGCTGTTAATGAGCTCAAAAGCATGAAAAAGAATTTTAAAAAATGATTCTTTTCATAGCTACCAGCATTTGTTGCCCATCTCTCACTGCCTTCAAATTGAGCTGCTATCTAGACCATTTCAAAGGGCAGCTAGAAGTCGACCACAAATATTTGGATCTGAAATCACATAGATCAGACTAGGAAGGCCGATTTCCCACCCTAAAGCATATTTGTGAACCAAATGGGTATTTACAAAAATAACATCACCACCATAACTGAGATCAATTTCATATTCTGGATTTTATTTATTTAAAATCCACCAGCTTCCGTGATAGGATGTGGACCCATGACTCCAGACCATTAACCCAGCCCTATGGATTGCTATTCCATTGATGTTACACTTGCGTGACCACCTTCCCTCATTCCCAGTGGGTCTGGGATAGGAATTTCCAAAACAGTCAGCAAGATAGTCTTTAGACAGTTGTCTTTTGTACCCCTGGGAGACAACTGTCCAATGTTTTGTCAGGCTTTCTTCCACTGCTAATCTTTATTGGGCTCATGAACTATAGATGCCTCACGACTTTGGGCGTGAGTGGCAGGAATACTCCTATTTGTAGGAACAGGTCATGCCTACAACAATTTCTAGACATTAACGTGGTCACTGTAACCAGTCACCAGACTGATGTGCTTGATACCAATAAAATTGAACTGCCTGTAGTGGGTTTGTGGAAGAAGCCCAAACATCCTCCTGCAGAAACCAGGATCACCAGGCTGCCATGTCGGCTGTATGGTCAAGGAACACAAATACATTCAGATTATACTTGACCTCCAAATCTCTCATACCCCACGAACTTCAACCTAAATACCAGTCATGATTACAGAAGGAAAGAGACCTTGCAACATATACAATAACCCAGGAGCAGCAGTGGAGTCAATCAGGCAACATAATAACTGATCGCTCAAATGAGAAAGTCCTTCAAAAACTCCTAATCCAGGCTCTCTCAGAATCAAAACCAAAGTACTGCAGATACTGGAAACGCAAACAAATGTAATACTGGAAATTCCCAGCCGATCAGGTAGAACCTAAAAACAGGGAAACAGCTAAAGTTTTGGGGGTTGATGGCCTTTTGTCAGGACTTACAGCACTGATGTGAAACATTAAGTCTTTTCTCACTCCACATCTGCACTGTTTATTTCTCTCATTTGATTAATTTAAATGATATATCCGAATTTCTGTCACAAATGGAATGGTACATACAACTGAGATACCCATTTCCCAATGTTAATGTCAAGACTTAAATGACATGGGACACAAAACATAACTGAAATGCAGACAAACAGCACTGTGCAGATTCTTTAACGCTTAAGAACTGCAAAAGACTTTCTTTGGAAATTAGACTCAGACACAAACTGCTGCTTAGCAGCTGTGCTTGCTAAAGCTCTATAAAAAAATGAATGGTCCAGGGAAGTGGGCATTGTTGTGAGCAAGATGCAGCCCTTCACCTGGAATTGAATTGAATTCAGATTTATTAAGTCTCCGTTAGTTGATACCTAAAATAATTGGTAGTTTCAGTACAGCACAAAGCTATATTTGGAGATTAGTGTGTGGGAAATATTCTGCTCATATATAGTTTCTTAATGCTATGATCTCTCAATCTGGTTACCATGAAACTCACAAAACTAAATGGTATTGCAAGTTTACTCTGGACATGGTTGGGTTGCAATGAAAGGGTACTGGTAGATGGGCGAGAAATAGAATATCAGGACAGCATCTACAAAGGTGGATCTGGTGAAATCTTTCTAAAGACGCAACCCCTATATGTTGGATAAATTGGCCAAGCCACATGCTCTATCTTCTGACAATTTGGGTGAGGGTATGTCTCTTTTAGAAGGACCACAGCAGCAGGCTTTGCATCTAGACATGATTTGTGCATTCGGTGAATGTGTCAAATGTGAAGTTTTTATTCCCCAATATTCCACACCTCGTCTTGATGAGCACAAAATTCACACAAATGGGAGGGGGTAGATCAAAAAAATCAATACAAGCTGCGAGGAGGAGGATCCAAAGTCCCTTTGTTGTACAGCTGTATTTACAATTGCTGGCACAGAATCCTATGCAGGAAAAAATTTCAATCAATGTCAAATCAACTATTGTAACAATGAAAATATACATTTTTTTTTATTTGAAATCACCAGCGAGCATACTAACTAACCCTAAATAAGTCAAACAGGTATAAGTCAGCACATAGCAATAGGCCATTAAAAAAAAAAATCTATATAGCAAGATAGGGTGCCAGCAAGTATTTCCCCAATAATAATACAACGTGCTAATTAGAGTAATCAAGTTCACCACTACCTAGTAATTACTTAATACTATCCTTCAGGTTAAAGCCACAAACACTAGGTTTTTTTTAAATAATTAAATCTGTTTTACGAACCAAAGTCCTAAACAAGTTGTATTCTTCCATATCATGCCACAATAAAAAAAAGGATGTGTAATCTGTACGTCCATTTTTATTCACGAGGAAAAAAATAGAAACCAAAAAACATGCAGAGCAAATAATATGTTAGTTTTTCTTCTGCTAATAAACCTTCCATTGTGCTTCGATTTTACTGAAACTTTCTGTTCTCTCTAGCGCTGTTTTTTTTTCTGATCGAGAAGCAGACAGCATAAATAGTCATTCTTGCTTGGTTGATATCCCGCTCTGCACCAATCCGTTGTTCAATTTTTCTTGCTCTCTTCCATTTTTGGGTCAAAACATGTTACAAGTTAGGTATACCAAAGTTATGAGATAGCATGCATTTGGGCCTCACAGCTAGTGGAATGTGCGGTAAGATGCACTTCAAGTTGGAGAAATGACCGAGGAGAGGAAAAAAAACTAGGGTGATAATATACCAATGCTATCCATAAAAACCTGGTTTTAGTAATAAAAAAAACTTGCTTTTTGTTTTTAAATATGAATATTATAGTCTGCTTTTCAATGGTTAGGAAATTATATAGTCTGTCTCTTTGAAAGTGGGTGGTGATACTACAATTCCATATCCTGGGCCTCATCCTCGGAGAAGTCAGACATAGAACTCTCTGATGAACTTTCACCCGCACCCTCCTCTTGTTCCTTTAGCGCCTCTTCTGTTGCGTATTTCTGGATATATTCTGAGAAAAGTGTTGGGGTTTGAAGGAGGGAAGGAAGGAAGGAATAAAAAAAGACTTGCATTTATTATAGCAACAGCAATTTCTCAAAAAACTCAAATGCATTCATAAGATACTTAAGGAAAATGCAGCACAGCAAGACTGTACAAAACAGCAAACAGAGTGAATGACTAGTTAATTTGCTAGTTATTGACCTAGGCTCAGGATACCTCCTAGTAAAATGCAGCAATCTCGCCTCATTACTGTTGACAGTCATGTCAGCTAAGAAACCACTTCAAAGCCCGGAAGCTTGGAATTCTCAATCTCCAAGGGTAGCAATAAAAACGAAATGTTGCAAAAATACATCAGTCAGCCTTGCAACGAGACTGAAAGGGTAATGCTTTTGGTGGATCTGCCAGCAGAATGTATAATCAGATAGCATTGCTTCACTAGGTAAAGTCAGCTGAATCAGCCTAGGCCAGTCTGATAGAGACAGACAGACAGACAGACAGACACACACACACACACACACACACACTCTTCCTCTGAGGTTAGATTGTCTCACTAGCCAGGCTGCTGCTAAAATAAAGTAGAACTCTATACCAGCACTGAATTCCAAATAATGTCCTAATTCCACAACCATAAAACTTTAGACCATATTTAGACAGTTTTAATACAAATATAAGGTAACCCTTACCTTTTATTTTCTGTTTGTACTCTTCTGGTCGATGGAGATACATTGCTGCAGCATCACCATTTAAAGGGTCAATTGGATTTGGATAGGCCAGCAGCTGAGGCAGGAACGACTCAAATATATTGGTGAGGTCTAGAAGGAAAATTCACAAGCCACATTACTCCCTTACGCAATAGCAAAACTATAGTGGGATGATTAAAAACGCACAAACATTGTGCAGTCTGTTCTTTTTGAGACAAATGCTTATGATAGGCCAAGTATGAAATGATCAGGAATCTGAACAAGAAGATTTGTTTGACCAGCAGGGTGTCAGATATACATACGTGACCACCATACCTGAAGAACCCTGAAACCAAACATGGAGAAATACCCACAGGGTCTCTACTTCCTTGACTGTGACTACATACACTCTCCACTTACTTAATTCTGGAAGTTTAGACACAAGACTGCAACAGTCCAATTTCAGAAATCTTCAACTGTACACAAGCAAACTCCAAAATTTACCTTAATGCAGTTATGTGAACAGCTAGGATCATCCTATCCATGAGTAGTGATGTCCAAATTTTTCAGCTCACCTTGTCAAAGCCAGTGACCGCATAAAGCTTTGTGTCTGAAATCACCCAATAATGACATACCTAAAATAAAATATTTCAAAACTACCCACGTGCAGGCTGTGTTGCTGTTTCCACAGGCTTCAATCAGGGAAAATGTTGAAGGGAGAGAGAGCGGTAAATGCATTTCTGCATCACAACAGATGAAGTGATCAATGTTTGATTAAGTGTGTTTTGAGCAGAATAGCTTTTCTAGTCCTAAATTTACCTAAAGGAAGTGGAAAACAAGTTTGGGTTTCTGGAATACCAGCCACAAAATCCCTCATATTGGTTCTTCAGGGCCAGCAACAAAACATTCAGGGAGTGAGAAATTGATGTCCGCTAAGTATTATTATACAGACGTATTGTTTGTTCTTTCAGCACCATTAACAAATGGTCAATTATGCTATCATGCTCTTCACAGCCACAAGTACAAAGTAAATCATACTGCATGTGTTTCTCTCTCCTTCTTGAAAGTCTTGTATCACCCTCTGGATTTTAGGGGGTAGTGAAGCAATAAGCTCTTTCTCCACTGTTTTTACGGATATTTTCCATAGCACCACCAGCAATAATTTTAGACTCAAGAACATTTTTATCAACATACCATGGAAAAATATGAGCAAAGCTAAATGGGAGACTGCACGACGGTACGCAGTCTGTTTAACTGCCATATGTCTTATCAGTTTCAATGTCCTCTTCTGAAAGCATCAACTCATGCCAGGATATGCACTGGTAGCCCAATAACTGATATCCCAGTGGCTCTTCTGTATGTGGATGATTAAACAGCATACAGGCAGGCTGTGACACCTCAGGAAAAGCACTACATCATTAAAAATAAATCAACATGACATGGACCCTCAAAGCATTAGCTGGGAGATTGTGGGGAAAATGCTAGAGTATTTGATGAGGAATACCAAAGAACTGAAATCAGATTGATTGCAGACAGCCAGATGGCGATGTGATAACATGACTGATTTTTGATCACTCTTGAATTTAATGCTGTCATTAATAGCTTAGCTCTCCTGCATGCTATTGGCCTTCAAGTCAGTTATAATTCTTCTCTCACCTTCCAAATCAATTGAAGTCACTGGTGAAAGAACTTTACTGAGATGGAAAAAGTGATATTAACTGTAATTACCAGTGTTCAGCAGTTATGCAAATACATGGCCTCAAATTCCAATGTAAATTGTTTAAATCTGGCACAATGAAATCAGAGGCAACTGAGAAATTACAGAATAATTTGGGCAAAAATAAATATATGGGCAGATGACAATTACAAATGCACATAAAAAAGGAAAACAGACCAAAAATGAAATAAATGATCAATAAAGCTGAATGAGACTTAAGTGTCCCAAAAGACAATGTTCAACCAATGAGAGGAGCAGTCAAGAAATCAACGGACATTGAATTATACAGCAAAAACTGCACCTCCATTCGTTACAAATTAGAAGAAATCTTAATCAAGAAAAACGTTCAGCACATTAATCCAAACTACACTATTTTACACCAGGTTCTGGCTGCTCAGAAACAATGGAGACAAACACTGAAGGTGATGTATTAAAAAAAACACTGAAACTGATCTTTAGTATCAGATGTTTTGACAATAGACAATGTCGTCTTTGAAAGACGACAAAGAGCTGACGTCAGAGGTGTGCGAGACAGTAGTTATTGGAAGAGGATAAGTCCAGAATACTACTATAAAATTAAAAATTAGGAAAGGTTATAAGTAGTAAAGGGCAGATTTATAACAAATCATAACTTTCTTTCTTAGAGTGATGCACTAAAAGAATACTGAGCGACAAGCATAGAATAAATTCAAAAGCAATAAGCTGCTGCACTGGAAGACAATTAGGACCTCCGAGGATGAATGTCAAATGAATTTAGACTGATTTAAATAGTATAGCTCACCTGTATTCTCAGTGATGCTATGCTCATTTCAGTCTTTGTAATTTGAGTTTGATTTTCATGTAATCTTGGTAGCCAATTCTAAATTCTGTAACATTAATAATCTAGTAATACAGAGGAGCAGACAAGGTGAAGCAAAGAATCCAAGGCAGGGAGTTAGCAACAACAAGCGGAGTGGGTGAGAGAACAACTCCATGATAAGCACCCAACATCACCTTAATCAGCAGAGACAGCAAGGATAGGCAGTCACCTAAAGGAACAGGTAAGAAAAGGACTGCATGGCAGATAGACAGTCAGAGACAGTGCTAAATTACTTGAAGATAACAAGGTGTAGAGCTGGATGAACACAGCAGGCCAAGCAGCAGAGGAGCACGAAAGCTGACGTTTCGGGCCTTTCGCAGATCCTCCAGCATCTGCAGTTCCTACTATCTCTAGATTAATTGGAGCTGGTTCTTGTCCTGCTACAGTGAAAGCAGTTAGCTGTTTGATGTGACTCTGATTAATAGTTAAAATCTTTTCTCGATTTAAAAAATGTAACATTACATATTTTATCATGAGGTGGTGAAGTTAAAGGATAACATAAGTGAATAATAATTAAAACTCAAAAGGATGGCAAGTTAGGAGATGTGTCAAGACTGCAACATGTGGTAGTTCATGGATACCATTACAATTCAGAGCAAACATCTCCAGGTGACTGGTTGAAGTTCAACACCTTTGCTCAGAATTTAAACTGAAGGCCGACAGCTGGGGTAGAAGGGGGACATAATTTACTTGGATTCTTTGTACCAAGTGGCAATCACATCACTTGCATTGGGGACTTTTGATTTGGTCAGTGGATTTGACTGCAACTGAGGGGACCTAGAGAGTAGCAATAATGTTCCCTTTAAGCTACGCAGCTGCACAGCATTCAGAAGTTCTAACAGGCCAACAAGTGTGTCAAACTACTGACTTCTAGTTCCAGAAGCTGCTACCATGCATGGACCTCGAAGGTCCATACATAGACAGGCAGGCATAGGAGAGAAGTGTAGTAGTGTCAGCTTCTGCAATTGCCCAACAGGTTTGAGATTCTTCAGCACGTTCAGATGACAGCAGGGGCTGCAGGGCAGCTGAACAAACCAACTGTTGCATAGGTGCCCATTGAAGCAGGAGGAGCAACAAAGCATTTAGTAATAGTAGTACATAATAGTATAGTTTGGGCGGGTGGAGGTGGTGTTGACAGCCATCCTGTGCAACACAGAGTTGAGATGGCTGCGCTGCCAGCCTGGTACTAGGACTCAGAACAATTGCTCACGGCCAGAGAGGAACTTACAGTGGGAGTATCCAGCAGTTATGATGCATGTAGGCACCAACAAAATAAGTTGAGGAGCTAGAGACTTAAGTTAAAAAGCAGAACCTCAAAGTTTATAATTGCAAGATTATCACCCAAGCTGTGTGCAAATGGTATAGGGTGCATAAAGTCAGAGGGATGAAGACATGGTTCCAAGACTGATGTTAGCAAAGGCCCCTTGTACAAGTACTAAAGAAAACAGGCCGATATCATTAAGTCGGTCCAGACTTCAACTGTGTTAGGGTCAGCGTTCTTATGAACTGCATAACTAGCGAATTAGAGAAGGCTTTACCCAAGGAGTAGGGGAGAAAAGATTCAAACATGGAAAGATGTGTTATATCAAACAGACAAAATGATACAGGAGAAAAAAAAAATGGAATACACCAAGATTAGATGTTACAAATGTAAACAAAACTGAAAAGCTCTGTACCTGAATAAATGCAGTATGTATGAAATAAGTGAATTGATATGGTACACTGAAGTGAATAAATATGATCTGGCAGCCATTACAGAGTCATGGGTTCAGGAACGCATGGATTGGGAATATGACATTCAATAAGATAAGGAAGTTAGGTAAAGGTGGAAGGGAAGCATTGTAAAATCAACTTGGCACACATGCAACAGTTAGGGATGACTTTGGTTCAGGAAATCAGAACATGAGACTGTTTTGGGTGGCAATGACAAATATCAGAGGAAAAGGAGGTCATTAGAGAGCATGGTCTCTGGGGCCCCTAACACTAACCATAATGAGAGACAAAGCATACAAGAGGAAATAAGAGTGTGAGAAAAGGGATGGAAATAATCATGGGTGACTTTAATCCACATATAAGTAAAAGATGGACAGTAGTAGCCTGGATGAGTTTTTAAGAATGCTTCAAAAATTATTTCTTCGAGCAGCACATTTTTGAACCAACCAGAGAGCAGATCATATTAGAGACAGTAGGAACT